TTGATTATGAGTCAACATATCAGCCTTGCCGGTTTGATCCCAGGGCTGTATCCAGACGAAGTCACCGTACTGTTCCTTGGCGAACCACTGCTTCCACGCATAGTGTATTCTCTGGATGACTGTACCAGAAGCTCCAGAGGCTTTCAGGAAGTATGGTATAGTACCACCATGACCAAAAGGGTCCACGGACCAACCAGACTCTGGAATCACGTCCAGGTTCGTCTTCAGCCACTGGTGACCTGGAATAAAAAAGACAAGAATCGGGTCAATTAAAAAACACCAGTCTGCAGGCTGTGAATAGGGAATGAAGAGCTTCAGTTTGCACAATAGTTAGCAACGCCGCGGAATAATCGGCTTTTCTGGTATGCCGAGTACTGGCAAGCCATCCGGCCGTTTAATGTCCTGGGAACGGTTAGGTGAATCTTTTGAGGCTTCTGCAGGTCTCATTAAGACAGACACAGGTCTTGTACAAATCAAAAGGATCGATGCGAACAGCGTCGTTAAATTCGAAGAACGTCTTTTGAGTGCCGTTCGTTCGTACCGCCGATCACGAGACACTTATCGCCGTGTAAATATCTCCGGGGCTCGTTTAAAAGCTCATGCTCCACGGGAGAACAGGAGCTTCTTCTTGAGCGCTTTCAGGCGAAACAAGTAGAATCCGCGCGGTGTGATTCGATGCAAGTTCCTTATAAAAGTGGAAATCTAAGATATATCTGTGTGTGTGTGTGTGTTTATCGATTATTTTCGAAACGGTTGGATCCAGAAATTAATCTGTATCCTATCCACTAACGCATTTCCAGGATTTCCCAGTCGATCAAATAAATCATCCATCAGAAGGATGGTCGATTTAGGAAGCAGTGTGACTATTTAGAAAAAAGAAGAACGAAATAGGAAAAGATGGTAACAGGTTTGGTTGGCCATTGTACCAGAGGTATTCAATAATTTAGACCCGATTTCTCACGGCGGAGACCCGTTTCGATACGTGGTCGTAGTGGACGGTGTAATCGCAGCCTATTTATCAGTTCTCACCCTCCTAACATTCCTCGCTGGCCAAACAACCCCTTTTGACCCTGTGCAACAGGGGGGAGTTAATCCACATCCGTTGCCACAGGATAGAGACTGCGTTTCGGTTTCTCGATCGACAATTTATGGTGTCATATGGTTCGCAGCGCCTCTAGCGTCCATTACAGTAACTATCCTTAGGTCTACGACTGCTTATCTACGTTTATTAACTCCATAAACTGCGTTTATGGCCGAGCCTCATTCTCGCTGATCGCCTGATAAAAATTAATTAGAAATTGTTTTATGAACGGAGTAAAGTTTCGCGATTAATTTTATAGGCCAGAAATTGTATTATATTTCATGGAGAAACGCGAGTCGATCGAAGGAAGATTTAGAAAAATGTGTACATTGAAGGTGGAGAGAAGGAACACGGTACAGTATTCGATGTGCAATCGTAGCAAGGTATTTCTTTATTTTATTCCTTTGGTCTTTGTATTTTCGAAGGGAAAACGAATTCACACGGGCTCCTAGTTTCCCTCGATAAACGATCGTTGATCGAATCCAATGAAATGCTCGCGTACAATGGAATAGAATTCTCTGCGATCTGCGCGACTTCTGACGTGGAAAATGAACTACTGGGCAGAGCCGAGCTTTTGGACTGTCCTGATAAACTGTTCTTTTCTTTTTCTTTTTTTTTATCATAAAACGATTCTTTGATTTTTTTCAAGTTTATGCATGAAAATTAGAGAATTCGTTTCATATGAAAAGAAACCAGAAATGCGAAGTTTAATCAATTAAATTCGAAATACCGTTCCAAGAACAGTACGTAATTGAGTTAATACGGTTTTAGGAGAAAGAGGCAAATGGAGACAGGTCCAATTATCAGGCTAATGCAATCGTCTGAAGCGTCCCCGAAATTCCTGCGAAACCGAATTCGTATTCAGGATTCTGCTATGCGCATGGACGAGCATCAGAACAGCCCAGCAACAACAACAACAACCAAACAGATGCACTTGCTGTGCATGCAACGATGTGCAGCTAAGCGTGCGTGTTAACGCACGCTGTCGTGTGGATGCAGCCTGTTCTCTATGGGCTCTTCCTGGCCTAAGTACAACGCTCTTGCGGATTTAGGTTAGCTCATTAACGACCAACATTGCGCTCCAGCAATATCTCATCTGCGATCTTCCTTTTCAGTCAATTTACATTTTCCAGTTCTGCTTTTTGACACCGCGATTGCAAAACGACTTGACAATGGATTGGAAAACGAAGGGGCTCGTTGAGTTGAAATTCTCCAACCGTTCGCTCAATATTTTTCCCACGCTGATTCTACCAATTGTACGTAACTCAAAGAGGTTACACGGATCTTACGAGGAGATAGAAATATCAGACATGGAAATGGCAACATCGTGGAGTAATTTTTTAAATGTTTCAAAGATCAGCCACTAAGATGATAATAGCCACGTAGACCCGCATGACAAAATGCTGAATTGAAACAATTTTGTGGCAAGTGTTAATTCTGATTCTTTAACATTACAATGGCTTACAATGGCAATGTTGGAAAGCTTCTTTTTAATAGCCACGTGGAAAGATGATATGCCTGGCCATTAATTTGTACAAAGGTAGAAAGATCATAAACAAAATTAGCATCTTTACACGCACGCGTATTAATTTTCTAATAAGAGAAATACATTGCAGGAATTTCACCAACCATACGACGATCGCGTAACTTGGATTTCTCATAAAAACGTGGTAACAATACTTCCTGGCGTTTTAGCAAAGAAAAAGATTGAAACGCCGGATTAACAGGAATAGAGAGAAATGGTAATCGAAAATGGTGGCCGCGGGGCTCGCTCTGCGCTATTCCCCCGGAAACAATAGACAACCCACGAGCGTCACGCGTGCAAATCCAAGTGCATTTCGTTGGTCGTGGAACAATTGGAAGACCGCTAATGAAAACGACCGCCGACCGGATCAGATTTAATTTTATTAATAACCAATATCATCTACCAGGCTACCAATGAACGAAGAGTTACGATTCCTCGAGTGATCTTACGCGTTCGATTTACGGCACATAAATTCGTTGAGGCATGCCTTATCGTGTACCCCTTAGGGACTTCCGACTGGCTGACCCAAATGTTCCATCCGGATTGACCCAGTTTCTCCTCCGAACGTCCTCGAGGTATCTGTCTCGTTTATCTGCACGGAAGGCAACCTTCCGTTTCGCCGTTTCAGTTTTATCGTTGGAACGGCGAACATTCCACGAAAATGCGAATTGGGCAAATTTAACTTATTAACCAGGGAACACCAGTTAACCGTTTCTAACCACTTGGACATAATTTTTTATTCGAATCCGCAATATTTTAGTCCATCGATTTAGTTCTGCTAACCTGTGCAGATAAATTCCACGGCATTTATACTCGTTGCGGTGGAAATCGACATTTTCGAGATTTTGCGACAGAAGACGGGCAACGTTATATAAAATTAGTAAAAGTTTTCGTTCGTGGTTATTCGTTAACCGTAACAGATTGAACGAATCCCCCGCTCTCATCAGACAACACAGCTTGTTTGTTTCAATTATTGGAAGCTATGGATTGAAAACAAGATATAAACAAAAAAAAAAAAAAAAAAGAAAAATGATAAAAAACACAGGGCGCAATTCTAGCACTGTGTATTATATTTTATGAACGAACGACATTCCAACAGCTTTCATAAACATTAATACTGCGAAGAGAAGCAGTTAGTGTTTATATTTCATCTTGCTCGTGGTTTTCTCTACTTTGATGAAGGAACTTGATACGCCACTAGAAGCGAATTTACGTTGAGAAGAATTTCAACCATTTTCCACCAAAATATTTTCACCAGAAGCATAAAATATAGTCAAATTTTCGATAAATTAACAAGATTTATAACCAACCTTTTTCGTTTACGTTCCACTCTACTCGAAAGTCTAGTATTCTATTTTATATTTCTTGTCGTCGATTGTTTATTATTCAACGCAAGAATACGTCGTTGTGAATGTATTAAAATTTCAATGAGAAATTGCCAATTGGTCGGTGCAAGCATTCTAACGATTTCTCAATTAAATAAGTGAAATAAAATAAAACGAGAAAGGCAAATAAATTCGACGGAGTCGTAGCCGGTTTCGTAGGGGGTGGGCAGACGAGCTAAATGAATAATCGTGGCAGTGGTTAAGCGTTCCTGGCTCGAAACTAATTCGAGTTTCCTAATGCCCGATGTCGCGAGGACGCCAGCAATTCCTGGGGCTAGGGCCGGTATTTTCGATTCAAACGCGCGCTACTCGAAATCGTTCGAGCGTGCTTAAACATTAACGTCCACTGGCGGATTGTTACCGGTCCGTTAGTCCGTACGATCCGCATTCACAGAGTCATCGGTGGCCGCCGGTCGTAGCGTCGAAATTGCGTCAATTATTCGAGGAAGCCGGCTTGGCCCGCAAATTGCGCGTTCCTCGCTGCTTCCACAGAGTTTTCAGTTTATTGCAGACGTTTCGAAGGAACGTCCCCGACCACAAATCCACGGAGATCGTAACAGGATTCGAAGAACGACGAGTTTCCCATTCAGCCATTAAAGCATGCAAATAAGAGGAGTCAGAAGATCGATGAAATTAATTAACGCGTTTCTTCAAGAAATTCGTTTTACCTGTGGATGGCATGTATCTCGTTGCAACTTCTTATATGTTAATTTGCTTACGTTTAACTTCGCGATTACACGTGATATATCAAACCAAATGTAATATCCAGACCACTGTGGTAGAGCTGCGTCTAACTCAACCGCGTTTATTGGAACGAAAATTTAGTTCACGCCTGACTAACCGAGCTCCTGCCGATTGAATTTCTTGAGAATTTTGGATCTTAATAGCCGAAATAATGGTATAGGAACACTAAATCTACACTTAGAATTTATATTACAATAATTCTATATTTATTGGATAAGCGATTTCAGAGATATTCATCGATACACATTTGCACGCGTCTCAGCACTTTCTTCTATATCCGGCTGTTAACCGACTGAACAGTTTACCTTCGTTTGTCTCTTCGAGACGCCGCGCACACACATACTTGCGTACACACATACTTGCGTACACTGATATTTACATACAAGTATTACTACTACGCATCTGACCTAGTCTAACACATAAACATATACGTATCTCAGTAGAATTCAATGAACGTGAGCTTCTATTATGTGAAAGTATTATTATTAGATAGCGAAGAAAATTGATGAACTCCTATTATAGGAACTGCAATTTTACAAACTGTCCCGCTACGACCACTTACTTAACTTCATAGTTAGGTATAGTAATTCAATTGTAATCTAATACTTATGTAGACTAATATAAATTTATATTCATGTTAAATCATCTTAAATGAAATTTCATATGCAGAAGCGAAGCTATTTAGTACAATAAGTATGGAGGAAGCGAGGCAAAAACTGAGACCCTGGCAGACTTGCTGAGGAGCCATTGGAAGGGAAAGTGTGTACAAGGAGGTTTGAAGAGCAGGGGAACTCGGATGAAAGGGTGTGCCGTGGCCTAATGCGAGCGAACAAACCATTAAACTACACTCAGCCGGTACTCCACTGATTATAACCCATTAGACATGACATGTGTGCATTAAACGAGTTATCGCGCGCGTAGACTGTTCCCTGTTACACGATCGGAACCATCCTGTTGGCTGACGTGGATGAACCTAACAATTCCAATGGGAGAGACGTTCTATTCAGTGATTTAAATCGGGACAGACTATACTATCATGGAATAATAAATCTCTGCTCTTTTTTCACGATGTTTGAGGATATTTGAGGATGTTTGAGGATGTTTGAGGATGTTTGAGTACGTAATTCGATCATCAATGGATCTACGATAAGTTTTTATTTTCTGCGATTGTTACAGCTATGTCATAGGTAAACTGTTACAGCCATAGCGGAACGTTGTGATGCTGCAAAATTGATTTTTAAGTAGCAACGAGCAATGATCTCTGAAAAGCTCTTAATTCCTCTGGTTCCTAAGGTACGAATCATTGTTAAAAATAAATTTACAGAGAAGTTTACAGAAAATATTTTTCAGAATATTCAAATTTATAATTTGCCAATTCCTTAGGATCAAATGATCAAATGTTTAATCCTAATCATCAATGTTTGCATTAATTTTGGTAACATCTTTTGACAATTTTCCTTTTTTTTGCCAAGTTTTGGTAAAATTTAATATTCCTTGGTATAATTTCATATTTTGCCCTTAATAAAATTGATTACTTTTATGTACTAATTTTCATATATAAATATTGGGTTGGTCAAAATAAATGAGGATTAAAAAATTGTTAAATCAAGTTTTAGGTTAGCCTGCTTGATTAGAAGGGGAGAATGATAGGAGGAAAAAAGTTCCAGCGTCACGGAAGTTCTGTAAGGACAGGAGGAGGGCGAGTGACCGACGAACGAGTTGGAAAAAGTTAGGGGAATGAACCGAGTGCGCTTTCGGGGATAACGAATCGTCGTTCGAACGTTTCTGGAGCACGCTTCGGCTTTAATTCCAGGGAATTGCCAAGTTCATCCAGGCCAAGTATCGCTAAAGGGCAGGCTCCTCGTCGAAGCTGCTTCTAGGTTTCCAATCGACGCCTTGATTTCCTCCGAAACGATCCGCACGTACGAAAGAAATTACCATAAAAAACTTTGCAATCGAATTAAATTTCTCTTCAAAAAATTTCAAGATGAGAAGATTTCCAATAAGAAAAGAATTGATCAAAAAGGTATAAATAATATATAAAATTTAATTATCGTTGTATAGCAATATCAATATCTTTTGGTTTGAAATTTGTAAATTTCCTCGTTTTTTTCTTTGCAGTATCTGTGCTGTAATTTAAGCATAAGTAACGCATTAAAAATTGTTCGAACAATGTTTTTAACCAACCAAATACGTAAAAGTGATAAAACACATATTATGATATAGAAAGGGGCAATGAAATAGTAGTAAATGTCATTTCAAGCAAAATGAGTCAGAGGTAAATCTATAGATGGTACATTCGATATTACTGACAGGCCATCTAGGTATATTTCATTTTTCAGTGAACTTTTCAGCCGAGTACAATTCGTAAGATTAATGTTCTTTTCAATTTGAATATATTTTGCACGATGGAGAATCACCCATTGCTGTTTTAATAATTCAGCCTTCACCTCCTAGGTTGGCTGACCTTAAAACGTCCAACGTTACTGGCAGCCGTCTGACGCGACACGTTCCGCGACTACTTGTACCGTTCGATAGAACGTCGACCTCTATCACTGACAGACTCGTCTAGTAGCGAGGCGTCGCATTAGTCAGCCAGAAGAGCTGCGAGCAAACGGAAGGATAATAAATACCGCGCGCCACTTGTTGCTCTTATTTCAGCAGAATCAAAGATACCACCAGCTTCTTCAGACTCTAGGAAATGCTATAGGAAGGTATACGTAGCATTAGAAGAGAAATAAAGTACTCTCCCGTTTATAGGCAGCTTTGCCGAAGAATTTATTTATAGAGATCAACGATGACGATTTTTATATCAAATATAGTACCATTTTAGACATGTTAAATCAAATCTATCATTGTATATTAGATTCATAACATAACCTAAAAATAATATTTCGATCATATTTCACGATCAAAGTTATGAAATGTAAAAATGATTTCAGATCAGATTTAATTAACAATTAACACAGGTTTAACATTTAATTCAGATCGAACTTAAGCTAGAACAAACATCTTGATCTCGTTCACCATCTTAACCAAATCAGATTCGAACTCAAATCTAACCTAAGCATAGTTCAAACTTAACCTAGATATATACGGTATCCTGGTATGTCTAAGATCATAATCCAAACTCAAATCCAAATCCAATCTAAGGCAAACTTAACCTGGACATGGTATCATGCCTATGATCTATCTGAGTCGAATCTAACTTAACCTAGTTTTGCCTGGTCATGGCTAAAACCTTGTCCCAAACCTAACCTATAAATAATACCTGGTTTATACTTAGCGGTTGAATACAGCTAGTCTAGTAACGTATTTCTGTTTAATCTAAATTTGCAAAATTATTTCTGAAAATTTGAAACTTTTTGGATAATCTCGGTCATGGGGAGGAAATTAGCTGGCGCGAGATGCGAATCTTCTGCGATGGAATCGATTACGTAGATAACGGGGCTCGTTAGCTGTTGCTAATTCTCAGGGACCGACCGAAACGAGCTCGGCGTTTCGGGACAGACCGGTAATGGACTCGTCCCGGTGCACTTCCGGTTATTATCGGGCTTCCTGCGTGTTCGACGCCAGGATCGCGGTTATCTCGATTTCTGCAATTGTCGATACCTCTTCTCCATCCCTTATCTTCCATTACTTCAGAGGATTCTGGATTTTAGTGCTCGCTTAATCCACCAACTCAGCTCTTCCATGTCACTTTAATCTCAGCCGTTAACATCTATCTTAGTACGCTTCGGTTCCTGTTCGAATAATTCTACGAAATCCTTTTACTTTTATTCCGTTCTTTCACGGCAGATTGTTTCTTCGAACCAATCTAACACTAACACCTCCTACTGGCAAAATATCTTTTCTAACCTCAAAAGTATATCGAGCTTCCTATAATATTTTAATTATTACTAATATTTAATAACCTAATCATATGCCTGAATCTGAAAGTAATAAATTATAGCTGACACGAACCTAAAAGTTTCGAAACATTAAACTGTTTAAATCTATTTTTCAAAGTAAAAGCTTTGACCTGATTGGGATAAACTGCCGTCAGGGAATTGGTTATCTGAAACGGATAATTAATTTGCCGCTCAACGACGGCTATAGCTCGCGATTTCCTCTGCTAAACAATGGGGTGGTTTATTATCGTTGGCCGGCGCTATTGTCCCCTTACGTGGGCTTCGATAAATCAATCGTTCTATTGATCGAACAGGTGCGATCGGAATTAGACGCGTTCGTGATCGTAAATTACGCTTATCCGTTTACGATCCGTGACGCTTGGATTTGTCGTTGCGAGATGCATAATTTTGCCTATGTGCGCCACCTACCGTGAAAACCTAACCTCAAACCGATCGTTCCTATCTCGATCCTCATTTCCAACAATTTCGTAGTCCTGAAATGACAATTCAAATACACCTAACCTACGAACTAACCTGATTCACCACCTAACCTCCTTTTACCTTCATTTAAGACGACCACAATAAACGTTTAAAGATTGGAACATGAAATAACCTAAAAATTTATCATTTAACGACTTTTCTACAGATCCAAAGGACACTGCAGCGTCGAAAACATGTTCTCGGTCAGCTTAAAAATATTGGGGATTGACTCACAAATGAGAAACTTTCTTCAAGCTGCAAAAAGGACTAAAATAAAGCATTAGTTATTTATTTCTGCCGATCCGTCAAGTTTCAAAGCGACCACGACAAACGTCAGGTTGTTTTTCGAGCAGAAACAGGAGACAAAGGAACGGGCGCATTTCGCCTGGCGTGGCACAAAGGAATCCACGCGACACTTTACTTCTCCCGGAAGAAAAGCTCGACGATTACTCCCGCGAAACGCAATTAAGTGGCGTCCTTGTTTTTTTTTTTTTTCAAATGTAATTCCGCCTCTACCTGGTGCCATTTACGTTCAAAAGTCGCGATTCGAGATGTTCAAAGAGGGCTAGTCGCCTGTTTCTGAGACGATACTTAGAGGGAAAGAGGGGAAAGCTAATTACGAAACGCTTGGGGAGGTTTCGAAGCGATTGTAATAAGCCGTTCTCCTTGGTGGATGGTTAGGACGACACAAGTAATCTGATTAAAAGGGGACCACGGGATCCGTTTGCAAAAGGCATGCTTTAGAAGCTGAGAGTGTATATTTGGATGGAGAAATAATTTAGACGCGCGCATGAGTTTGTAAAAACCAGCAATCACAAAGTGCTAAATCACACAGTTGCAAGTAATAACAGTAGTTTCATTAAAAAAATGCGGAACCAGTTTAAAAGGAAGGATCGATATTGAAAGTCCTCGAAAAGTGATCACTGATGGGTCTACAAGCTTCCTAATTCATGTTCAAACCTAATTCAACCTGAATATAACTCAATATGAATTCGAAAAAGGATCCCAACTATGATCCATCACGTGGACCATCAAAAGAACCAATAAAAGAAGATCAGGAAGAAGAACATCCATCAGAACCTTTAAAAACTTAGTCTAATCGATCTCACGAACCGCCCATTATTCATTCAAACCAAATCCAACCTCTCCAAACTTCGATTCCACATAAAATCAATTAAGAAGAAGATCTTATCGCATAGAACAGCAATGAAAACGAAGGAATCAGAGGCTCTACACCATAAAAAAATTATTCAGCTACACTGGACGAATTCTTTGCTTATCAAACCACACGTAACCTCTTCAAACTTCGATTTTCAACGAAATCGGCACAAAAAGGATCTCAGAAGCGAGTTATCGCTGGAATCATAAAAAATAAAAGAAAAAAAGATCAACGGTGAAGAGAATCCAAAGGAAAGAGGATCGCAGAGAGATGCTCCGCGTATTCTGGTGGACTTAAATTACATCCTTTATACAAGGGAGAAGCTTTCGTCGAGGATATTCACCCGACAAGCCCGAAGTGGGTGGATCTCAGCCACGTAATATCGCCGCTAGGACTTCCCTTCGATTGCGCTTCCCTGTATTTCCAACTGTGGATTCCTGTGTTCTCTAGCAGCCAGAGAAGAGCAGAAATTCCATGCTGCGCGATAGCACGCGGCCATGAACGCTTTTCTCCCGCGATATTTACACTGGATCCACCGAGAGATACCGAGGTTTCCAAAGATCTCTCGATCCTTTATCGCCTGGCCGATTCTGCCGGTTCTCGACGGTTCATCCCGCGAACAAATGGTTCGAGGACGTTTTCTGTTGGTAACTTCGACGTTGGCTGCGAGATGAAGTCAATTTGAGATCCGACGCTGTAATGTCTGTGAAGCTAATTCGGAGATACAGAAGGAAACAAAGTGAAATATGTAGCGTTGGTATCAGGTTGTCTGACTACCTCAGGGGAACGAGTAATTTCTTCCTCTACAAACACGATTTTTCCTGTCATCCTCGTTCCCTACTTGTAAAAGAAATGAGAGGAACTCTCGTTAACAGGAAATATGGTAATATAAAATGATGAAAAATAAATTGAATAAAATAAATAAATATCCAATAAATGAATGTGAAAGAAAAGTATGTGAATATATAAACGATAAAATCTATAAACTTATCTCGAAAGTCTTTCTTTACTTTCCCTTTTTTTCCAGAATATTATTTTTCGTGATTCTCTTATTATAGATTGACAACGAAGCCACACGATTTCCTTCATTCAAGGACATACTGGTTTGCATTCAGATTTGCAATTTACACGGCAACTTGTGTAGCCGGTCCACACGTTCCATTGAAATAATACCGAGCAGGCTATATTAACTTCCAATTATTAGGCTTCTGAATATGTATGCGGTCGCTTCGCGCTTAGAACGTTAAATATCCAGGCCAGCCGCGGTCAATATGCGTGCTCGCGGGCATTACACGCCGATATATCGGCAAATATTCTGTATGTGAATATGCAACGTCGAAAACGCAACACGTTACCAACAAATCCTCCTATATTGCTATCAGTCGGAACAGACCCGAAGGATTTCCAAACCGACCCAAATCGATCAAGCGCAGAGAATCCCTTGCTGTAGAGAACAGAAATTGCGGTTTAAATATCCCGACAAATTTGGTCCATTCGATTCTGACCAAAAAGTTCGAACTTTTTTCATCGCCAACTTGGCCATTTTTGTCTGGATACTTCGAGACTAGTTTATATCGTAATTTTATTTTAATCTCAAAATAAAGAAGGATGCGAAGAACGAAGATTCCTTACATAGACCTTTTATCATAATGGAAATGGCTATTATCATAATGGAAATTTTGAGACGAATTTAATAATTCATCAAACTCCTTCGCCACTTGTCGCCCATGACAATATAAATCCAATTCTGACAGGAAGATTTCGTATACAATTTATTGGTCCTTGAAGAAGGATTCCAGGATCATCAGGAAGTTCCTGGGGATTCTCAAACGTCATAGCCTGGATCACGATCGCGCTTAATGACCACGAGACGGCCATAACGCCGGGACGTATTTAAGGGAATGGTAATTATTATGGCGCGGCTAGTATCATGGAGGTCTCAACTGTAATGAGAGGAATTCTAGGGTACGATAAAATTCTGGCATTAAACCAGCCAGATTCCTTTTTCTTCTGCAATCAGAGGGCGTTAAGAACGCTGCAGGCAATTCCTGCGAAGACCCTCGTCATCTTCATCACCTCCGAGAAGTCGAGATTAAGTAAAAATTCCTTCGAATAAAGGAAACGTGGGTTATTGCGTTCCACGTTATACCCAATTTCCATTTCCTCTAATTTTATACCGTTTTATACTGGTCCTGAATATGCTGATCTATTCAGAAGCGATAAAAATTCAAGATGGCCGCACTCACCCTCGATCAGCTGATCCAACATGGCGTAGATGTGCGACGTTGCTTCGTCGGTCATCACCCAGCCCCCTGTGGTCATCTCTAGCCTGCCATCTTTCACTAACCTTTTCACGACCATCTTCTTGGTGGGGTGGGCACTGTAAATGAACAAAAAAGCCAAAGATTTTAGCTGAATATGTATTTCTAGCATCCTAACCTAAAAATTTCCAAACGTAGATCGATTACAATTTATGGACGATATTTATGTTGTTCGTGAGTCGAAATCGATGGTTCAACGTCGACTAACGTCAGAATTCATGATCGATCGGGAGAAGTATTGCCTACCGGGCTTAATACTCCCGTGAGAGCTCAGCTCCCTCGTTAGAACGTTTATGTCTGCCATAAAACCGCCACAAATCTCGCATTGCTTCTGCAAAATCTTCTGCAGCTTTTCTCTCGTTTTAGGTTAAGGTCATGAAGTCTACACGATGATCAGATCCAACTAAATTTCACGATCCACCCCATCCTCAACTTCGAAAATTTGCACGTCGAGAACATAACTGCTTTCGCATCTCTGATGCAGTCAGCACTTTTGCGCTTTAGTACATTTCGAATCTGATAACGTATACGAATCTCTATGCATAGTTTCAAGTTTATCTAGATTTTACAATAGTTTGCGAGTGGTTATCAATCACTTTTCAGGTTACTGCCAGACGTTAAATTAACTTCGAAGGAAGCGAATGTTTCTAGGATTGTAGAACTGCAAAGACATTCCTGGAAGTATAATTCACTATCTAAGGAGGTTAAGCACGAATGCCTTACAACGTGCAGCTGATATACAGGTCAAGTAATTGTAAGTTACATCGCAGATAACGGAGGAGGGGTGTAACGTGTTACGCCGCAACTTGTAATTTCGCACGATACAATCCGTGATACAAATCATATTTATAGCCGGGGCGCATTCCAGTGGGTCTGGGATTTACGTGATCCCACGCAGGCCGCAATGGCCGCCTCCTTGCGGTTCACGTCGGTCCGTAAACCACCAACAAATTCCGTTCCACTACCGTTTCCGCTCTTCGATAACCCAAATGCCGAGGAAGTCGTCAATTTGCACCAAGACGTCTTTAGGTTTTCCGGTTAACACTTCGTACACGGATTGATCCTCGGCGAAGCAGAGAATCTAGAAGTACCTTTAAAAGTATCGCGGACCTTCGCTATGTAGAATACTACGAAGCTTTCAGTCAGAGAGACTCACTAGTGGAGAGAAACATGCATTTCAAGTTCAAATCCCATTGGTTGCATTTCCATCTTCTTGAGTACACTACGTACTTTCAACTTCCATTTTCACATACATTGATCAAATACTTTGACCACTTTTCAGTACTTTTCAGTGGTTATAAAATTCTTTCACCTGTAGAGCGCACTAGGGATATAGTAAAATGGGAAGCAAGTGAAAATAATTTCTCGCCAGGTGAAAATCGATCCAAGTCCGTGGGAATTCGAAACCCGAGTCAGCCAGGAGACAGTCAAACACGCTCTGACCTATCCCAGCCAATTACCCTCGGTGTCTCGCCTTTTCCTCCCTTTTCTCCCACTACTCAGACTTACTAATTATACGAAATCTCCTCTTCAGAACTTCGCATTAAGCTCAAATTCACGCTGGCTCACGAGGAAACAAGAACTCCTCTGCTGCAACGACCTAACAATTCCTGCTACACAGTATAGTACAAAAGAGGCTCGTTCTCAGTCGTGGCGTTGCAGGTTGTTAAGGAAGGAGGTGGTTTTCGATCCGCCGGATATTACCTAAACCCGAAGCACCATGACGCTGCCGTTTCTCGTTCTAATGGGCCATTTTATGACAGCCTCGTTTCAGGAAGAAGCTCACGACACGCGAACACACGGTCGCCGAGCTAAGTCCACGGAAATCTATTCCCCTTTCCACGTGATCCTCTTACGGAACGATAGCCGGGGATCGGTATCGAGGCGATTTCCGTTTTCCTGGATCGCTATCCACACGATTTCCGTTTCCCTGAATCGGAAATGATCCCTTGTCCCAGCCGGTGCTGGACAGAATTCGATCCACCGTCAATTTCATAAAGAAGTTCTTCTATAGCAGTGGTAGGTGGGGATCTCATCTCATTGTCCTTTCGCGATTCCCTTTTATACTCGCGATACTTCCTCATCTTTATCCCTGGATTCTCTTTCGATCGTTAAAAAAAAAAAAAAAAAAAAAAAAAAA